GCAATTACAGCCTCAGATCTTTTTGGGTATGACGCTACCAGCTTTACATACTGAATTGGGGGATTTTCTGCCATTCTTCTTTGCAAATCCTCTCAAACTTAGTCAGGTTGGATGGTGACTGTTGGTGGACAGCCATTTTCAGCTCCCTCCAGAGATGTGACATAGTAGAGAATTGAATTTAGTTTTTTTCCTCCCAATTCCTAAAATATTTTAAATAATATCTAGAAGCAGGAGATTTAACCCCTTTAAATGTGACTAAAAAGATGGTTTCTTTGGTCAGCGACTAAAGCTATGTGGATGAAATAACTATAGTAGATTGTTATACATTTCAAAATGCAACTTGGAGCAGGAAGATGTTATTCTTAGGGCTTAGGAATTTACTAAGTGAATATTTTAATTCTGAATAGAATTAAAGAATAGAATAATCTATTCTTCCTTAAATAAAAGGAGGTTTATGTTCAGAACATAAGTTTCTAGTATCAGTGATTGCTCCTACATGGCGTGTGGAAAGAGCAGTAATGCCCTGGTGATGTCTGAGAAAACCAGAAAAGGTTCATTTTAAAAGAATGAATATAGGCAATGATTGCCTTCCCTCATTGTGTCTATTTCTAATCAGAATGGTCTTATTTCCTCATAGCATCCGTTGGAGACAAACACAGGGAAATTGTGCATTGAACCCATTTTTACCAAGTACCACAGGGGTAGACCATGGAGGTGAAACAGCCTAATACATTCCTTGTTTATTTGAAGTAGTGAAATAATTTCCTTTAATGAGATATTCTCATTAAATTATACTTTTCATATATCCTACATGAGATAGGATTACTTATAAAATATTCTCTTTCAGAAATATGTAAAATGAAGTTGCAGTATTTTCTCCTTGATGTCTTAACTTCAGATGCACACTTATCCAAATATATCTCTGGGGTCAATAAAGATCTGGAGGTTTTTGCAGGAGTAGCTTTTGAAGACCGGTAAACACATTTGGAATCTTGATTCATACCATGGGAACTCTTAACAAACTGCCATGAGGAGGCTTATACATGTGCAAAATAATTGTCACTGTGGCCATTCACAAAAATCTCATTAACCAGATGGCAAATCGGAGAAGCTGCTTCTAGCCCCATCTTGCAGCTGCCTTCTCCACCACAACTTTCTTTTTCTTCTTTTCGTTGTTTTAAGATGCATGTGACAGCTAAAAAAAATGCACTGGGCTGCAGCCACACATTATTTCCAGGAACACCACTATGGCTATTGCATCCAAAGCATATTTTATGTATCTTATGGTTGGTAGGATATGGACAATAATACATTGGTTTGCAAAGTAATTTCTAAAGATTCTAATTTGTATAGAATGACATGATATTATGTGCATTAAAACTGGGCTTTGACTATAGCATTGACTATGCTTGTGGCCAAAATATGTTGAAACTGATGGTACTGTCCATATTATTAGCAGGAAAAATTGGTTGCTGAATGCAATACCAGTATTACAATATGTGATAGAATAAATCATTTATGAGAGTAAGTTAGTGAGAGTAACACTTAGCAAATTAGTCCACATTGGTATATGTTATTTACTCTGTTTATTGATAAATATATCAAGAAAATTTGTGATAATGTTACATACATTGGTTAGGGATACAGATGTGACTGTATGTGGAGAATCCTGAATTGTTGGTTAAGAATCTGAAGTATTTATAGGAAATGTTAGATTGTATGAAGACTAGCAACAGTAATTTAACTTCCACAGAAAGTACATGAATTTTGAGGGAGGGAGGGAGGGAGGGAGGGAGGAAGGAAGGAAGGAAGGAAGGAAGGAAGGAAGGAAGGCTAAATGCAAAAGTGAGTGACTAATTCAAAGACAAATTGTTGGGATTTGGTCATATACAGTAGAGAGAATGAATGAGGACTGAATCATAAAACTACTGTAAATGCTGGCGTACAAGGCGACCCGGCGTATAAGACGACCCCCGTCTTTATAGCCGGGCCGCATTCCTAGAACGTCGTCTTATACGCCGGAAACTACCAGTATTTCCGGCATATAAGACGACTCGGCGTATAAGACGACCCCCATCTTTGGCGCCGATTTCAGCGCTCGTGGAAGTCGTCTTATACGCCGGCTTTTACGGTAATACCTGGAAGCAGAGTGAATGAGTCAAGAAAATGGGAAGAACCAGAAAGTTGTAGTTGGATGGAGCTAATGAATCTTACAAATAAAAAAATTAAAAGAAGAAAAGGCAAGTATGAAGTGATTTTTATTTTATTTTATTTTTAAAATTTATAAGCCGCCCCACTCCCGAAGGACTCTGGGCGGCTAACAATAAAAAAAACACATAAAACATAACAAACAACAACACAAAAACAATCATCCAGGGGTAAGGTTTTATAAACCCCAGGCCTGCCGGAAAAGCCAGGTCTTAAGTAGCTTACGGAAGACCAAAAGGGTGGGAGCGGTCCTAATTTCCGGGGGGAGCTGATTCCAAAGCATGGGCGCCATCACAGAGAAGGCCCTCCTCCGCGGCCCCGCCAAATGGCACTGCTTGGTCGACGGGGCCCGAAGGAGGCCCAGCCTGTGGGATCTAACCGGACGTAGGGAACTATGAGGTAGTAGGCGGTCTCGCAAATAGCCTGGCCCTGAGCCATATAGGGCTTTAAAGGTAATGATCAACACCTTGAATTGGACCCGGAGACCAATAGGCAACCAGTGCAGCTCACGGAGGATAGGTGTAACGTGGGTGTATCGAGGAGCACCCACTATCACTCGCGCGGCTGCATTCTGGACCAACTGTAGTCTCCGAATACTTTTCAAGGGTAGCCCCATGTAGAGCGCATTGCAGTAGTCCAAACGTGAGGTGACAAGGGCGTGAGTGACTGTAAGGAGAGCCTCCCGGTCCAGGTAGGGTCGCAACTGGTGCAACAGGCGAACTTGTGCAAATATGGACATGGTCTGTCATTGTCATTCATGCCTTAATCACTTCCCAGTTGAAAGTAGTGATTGGATGGAGTTGATGAGGTCCTGCAAAAGAAGAGCATGAGAAGTTTTAAAAGCAGTGTATGAAGCGGTACAAGGACATTCTGGAAGAATGAAAAAATGTGAGGAAATATTGTGAATGGTGTTGGTATAAACTAAATTTAGCTACTTTTCTCATCTCATGTTTAGGGTTATTTTTTCTTTACAATTTCTTAATATTTTTCTACACTTTGCATAACATAGTTTATTCCAAAAGTAAGTAGTATGAAGGCTGGGTACATAAAGTTATTTTTCCTTCATGTATATGTCTGCATATTTAGTGGCATCCCTTTCAGAATCGGTAGAAACTGCTTTTTTGTCAGTTACATATTTATGCAGAGGCACACAAATCCTAATTTTAAGAATGTATCTGTGTAAATGTAAATAAATTGCCAGTTGATTTTTATAAACAGACAAGCTGCAACAATTAAGCCTCACCCTTATTTTTACCATTGGTGAAACAAATTGTGTGAAGTATTACAATTGAATGCCCAACCTTTGCAATATTTCTTTCTAAGCAATCAAATGCCTGTCTGTCAGAAGAGAGTGTAGTTTTGTATGTTGCAACTTTTTGACTAATAATTGGCGTGTCTTCATATTTTGACTAGTCTGGAATTTAATATAAACACTGTTTGGATTCAAAGGAAACATTTATGATTAAATAGTTAAAATATTTTGACAGTTTGCTTTAGGTAGTCTGAACTCAGCTTTTATGTGTTGTTGTAATTTCCTGTGGATTCCCCCTCCCCTAGTTCTAAATGCAAGACAAGCATTTCACACTTGGCAGTTGTGACTGATCTCTCTGAGTTGATTTTATAAAGTGAAACAAAAAGGGGAGGGGGGAGTGGAAGACATGCCTCCCCTTTTCCAGGAATGGTCTGCTGAGAACAGCTTTTAAATTCTTTGACAGCAGATGCACTGAGGTTGGTAGCTGGAGGCTTATTTTTTAAAATCACAGTGTGCTATTTAAATTTGTTTGCCTCCTTAAATTTAAGTCATGTCATCACTGGTTTGGATTACCTCTGTCTGCCAAGAGTTGGGCTTGCATCAGATCAGCCTTTGTTTTGGAGACAGGCAGAAGAAAGAAGTCCATGCCATTCCCATTGGCATTGTGCAGGCAAAAATCTAAAGTAGGTGGTAGTTTTGAATTACTCTGCGAGGTTAATGTGTTCGTTTTGGGAGGAAGCATATGATAATCTGAGCTTTTGTCAACAGATGTTAGAAGATTAGGATTCAAATTATAGAGAATACCTTTTGTATAACCATGTGCTTGCTTCAGACCTATGCAAAATATTGGATTCATTGAGCTTTAGTCATATCACCCCAATTCCATTCATGCAGCATTTACTGGCTAAAACCAGAAATAGTTGTGTTGGCCTATAAGAACTGAAACTAACCTTCTAAAGTTAGTCAATACTTTTAATACAATCAGCAAAAGTGCACAAAAATTTGCAAACTTTTTCCTTTCCAAAATTCTTCATTCAACTGGGCAGTACCAAAAGCTGTAGATTTGAAACATAAGTCAAGCATGGTATAGAACATGGAGGCAAAATATAGAATTTGGAGTTATCACAATAGTCACAGCAAAGTAGTCACTGAACAAGGACTACCTGTAATGGTATTGCAAAACTGCTTAGTCATGGCACTGAGATAAATGTATGGTGTTAAGCTGCATTAAGACTTCTGGGTGCCCCGTAGAGCTACATATTTTAGCCTAAACACTACAGCAGGGCATTGCAAAGGTACCATAGCATCCCTGAGGTTTAAATGTTAATGATCTTCTGTTCAGTGAAAGAGTGTAATTCCAGAAAGACTATGTAAGCTATATAAACACTCTTGAATATTTGTTATCCTATTTGTGAATGATGAATAGATTTGGAACCTCTGCATTTCATTTTTCTCAATGAAAATTAACTTTCCCCGAAGTATAGGTCATTGGCATTTTTAAAAAATGCACTTGTTTATCTCTTCTTTCTTGTTTTCATAGGACATTAGCCCTCTAACTGGTGTTCCGGAGGAGCATATTAAAACAAGAAAAGCGTATATTTTTGTTCCAGCCCGTAATGCCATGCAAGCTGGGGTTAATAACACAAAAAAATGGAAAATGGAATTTGACACAAGGGAGCGTTGGGAAAACCCACTGATGGGTTGGGCATCTTCGTAAGTATAAAATAGCATTTTCAAAGTTTATTGTTTGATCAACTATTACAGACATTTTTACCAAGCACGATTAGATTTTAAAAGTTCTAATAACATTATGTTTTTGCCAAGGATGTTACTTTTTATTTGGGAATTTTTTTGTTAACTTCTAAATGTGAAATTGAAGCAATTCTCACATTTGAGAAAGAGGATCATCGGGTGGTAAAATGTACAAATGACCATGTGGAGTTGCATTAAATAGGCCATGAAAATTCCAAGAGTCAGACAAGATCAAATTGTTATTAGCTACATTACATAAGAGTCAGTTTTGTCTAGTGATTAAACCATCAGGCTAGAAGCCAAGAGACTCTGAGTTCTAGTCCTTCTTTAGGCATGAAAGCCATTTGGGTAACTTTGGGCCATGTCACTCACTCTCAGCCCATGACATCAGGCTCAAGGGACAAACTGGTTAGTCAATTCCTGTCCAATCAATTGATCAACATTCAGTTGATTTGAAAAAGCAGACCTTGCACCTGTGAGAAAATACTTCAGAAAGGAAAAAAAGCTAGCTTAAATTTTACTGATAAAGAAATGAGAGGCCAAAACAGACAGTCATCTTTATTTACTACAGCCTAATGGATCTTAGCCCAGAATCTAGACAATTCACAACAATTAAAGAAATTACAATAAAAGATATAATTTATTAATTATAGATAAAACACATTTTGTGGTAATTTGCAGGATTTGTTTTGTTCCCTTGCATGTGACTAAGGAATGTCTGTGAAATAATGACTATATTCCAACAAATTTTTGCTTTATCTGTAGACTATATAAACATAATAAATCCCCACATTTTATCAATTCAGTCAGTTAGAGAATGCATTCCAGTGAAAGCATTGCTAAAAGTTGCAAACAGATGTGACAAGCAGATATGTATCAGTAGGGATGCTTCCAGTTTAGGTAATATTTGATCTAGGTTCTTACTTTAATTACCTGGGTTCCTTAACATTCTTACTTTTACAATTAGGCTGCCTCTTTGGGGACTATGCCACTTTAGATACTGGCTGAAGCAAATTCTTTGGGAACATTCTTCGTTTACCTTATTTTACTGTATTAGATAGATTTGTATCTTAAGAAAACAAATCAATCTTGATTTATCTTAGTAAAGCAGCATGGGATCTTGAACTTCAGTAAAAAATAAGAGTTTCCAACTTGTATTATAACTGCTCAGATTCTTAGCTCAAAACTCGCTGCCTTCAATATGAGAGTGGACGCATTTTTGTTGTGTAATAACATGTGGTAATATCTCCATAATGCTTTAACAATTTGTTAAATTTTATATCAATGAAATGAATGAAAGAAGCCATTTGGTTTACAATCTGTCTTCGTCTGTCACCTATTTCCTTGCTTTCTAAAGTCAGAAAGTTAGTTCTGCATCACTGAAGAAAGTACTGCAGATTTTATGAAGATTTAATTGCAGATCAAAAGGACTTTTTGCAATGAAGCAATTGCACACAGACTTTTATAACCTTGAGACACATTTTACATAATTTCAGAGTTGCTGTAACATATTTATTCTCATAAATTCTGAGAATTCATCATGCTTCCCTTGGTAGTACTAGAAGTTCTATTTTAGTGATTGTGGTGGTATTATTCATGAAAGAGATATTCTGAAAAATTAAGTAAGCACATGTTTAACATTTCACTCCGGACTGTGGGTTTGGATGTTTGGCTTACTCAGAAAATGGAAGGCTAAGAATTCTTGGCCCTTTTGTGGTTCAGCCTCCTCCTCCTCCTCCTCGTTAGAAATAAAAAATTAGAAAAACTAGATTATTTTTGTTTCCTTTTTTCTGGTGTCATAAAATGCATTTCTAACCCACCATAAGATATTGTGAAACTTAGAATTAGAAGCAGGCAGCTAGCAATTTGTCTCTATTCTTGGATAGAAAATATGATTTAAACTTAAATAAAGAATGCATGCAAGGTTGTGTGGTTGTTCTAGCCAGATCTGTATTTTTAAAATCCGTGGGATTTCCAGCCAGGCCTGAGGCACACTTGTATTGTACCCACAAGCTTCCATTCTATGCTACACCATCCGTTGTTTTTCTTTAACAACTCTCTGAAACTACTAGATGTGGTCATCTAGGGATTTGGAGTTAAATGTGATCAGCATATGATGACACTTTTCCCTTGCCTTATGAGTCAGGTGAGGCCATAGAGCTGCTGATCCAGTGCCTGGTTTTGACAATGGACTAGGTGATAGTAAATAAACAGGAGCTGAACTCTAAGAAGAGGAAAGTGCTGTGAGCTAACAGTCGTTGTATTTGTGGAGTTGATAATCCTTCAGTTCTGGATAGGATTGTCCTCAAGTTCCCAGTGTGACAGCATTAGTACTGTTATTATAGACCCAAATACTTTTGTCCATTTTTGGTATCTCTTAATCCCTAGATACTGTGATGTTTAATAAATACCAGTCAGTATTACTGCAATGTATTGTGAAGCTTCAAATAGTACAGAATATGGTTGTTAGAATTTTACTGGATAATTTTATTACTCAGTTTCAGAAACAGAGGCTTTGTCCATTGGTTTCCAACTCAGTTCAGAACACTCATTAAAACCCTACGTAGTATCTTTCCATTGTATATGTCCATTAAGAATCTCTATTGAAACTGTCTATGGAGATTCTCAGTCATCCAGGTCATGGTTGTCCCAAAAGTGCATCAAAAGGCAATTAAACTTTCCTGTTTTTTATACCTTGAAAATGTTTCGCTGCTCATCCAAGAAGCTTCTTCAGATCTTGAACCTTTGGTCCAGTTGCCTTTTGAAAAAGCACCTTTGTGACTCTATTGAAACTTCATGTGCCTTTTCTCTCAGAGATACAAAGATAATTTACAGGAAGAGGATTTCCTTTAGACCAGAGCCAATGATTGTGCCATTTTGGCACTAGAAAAGATTTATCTTAATAGTTTTTCTGAAATCATAGTGTTTTTAAATGTTTACCTGCTATTTCCATGTTTTATTATTTACAGAGCGGATCCTCTGTCCAATATCCAGCTAACTTTCTCTACAAAAGAAGATGCTATTGCATTTGCTGAAAAAAATGGTATGTGTAGCAGCAACCAGAGTGCATGCTATTGAATGAGAGGGGGAGTTTGAGCTACTAGCAGAAAGAAATGGCAGTGACATGGGGCTGAAATTTCATCTTGGCAGATGTGTTCTGTTGAGTGGGTAGCAGTACCTAGTGTACTAGTGATGCAGAACAGGAACTGCTATATGATTCTGAAGTAGAACATTCAAATATTAATATTCTCTTACATTGTTTGAAATTGAAGTTTGGATTAACACTTGATATTGTTGATAATAAAAAATATTGAACTTCATCAGTAGTAAAAATTGTTCAGTTGTCCCTTCATAGATCCTTGTCACTTTCATTTTCTCAGTCATCCTCACTACCTTGGCACAGAGTGATTGGTGTCTTACCTTGCAAACATCCCAGGAAGATTTTTCCCTTGTGTATCATTTAGTTTGGAATATTGATATGAAAAGAGAGTGTGATGGTTCAGCGGTTAAACATGCTGAGCTGGATAGCAGACAGCCTGGGTTCAAACCTGAGTGCCACGTGACAGGGTGACCTCCTGTTACTTGCCCCAGCTGCCAACCTAGCAGTTTGAAAGCATGCAAATGCAAGTAGATAAATAGGTGCCACTTCAGTGGGAAGGTAACAGCGTTCCATGCACCTTGGTGTATAATCATGCTGGCCACATGACTATGGAAATGTCTTTGGGCAACGCTGACTTCCTCAGGTAAGAAATGAAGATGAGCACTCCTCCTAGAGTCGGACACAACTGGAAAAGGGAAACTTTTACCTTTATTGATACCAAGCTCTGGTGCTGGGTTTCATGGGGGTTTTTGTATCCAACATTGTCTTCCCTAATAACATCACATTATGACACAATTTTGCCATAATAGACAGGATGGATGTGCCATAGTGCTGGTATTGAGAAAAACATCTTTGGAGGGAGGATCCTTATCATCCCGAATGAGGACATGGTCACGGGGGTAGGGAGTAGGATCCATCTGTAGTAAATGGTCCTGCAGATAGCTATTATGGCTTTAGAGATTAAAACCAGCACCTAGGAACAGATTCTTAATAAGTAATTTGATATATGCATAAGTATTTGTAGTTAATATTGTTGCTTTTAGTGGAAGATCATCTCTTGGATCAAAATCTAACTGGGGGTCATTTGCCTCCATTTTGCAGGACCAAAAATGTTGATTTAGCAATTTTCTTAACTAAAACATATTGAATATGTTACTCCTGGCATCTTAAATACACTGAGAATTTTTAGGGAGTAGTTCTTATAAGCCTTCATATCCCATAAATGTTGGTGTTAAACTAAATCTGTACATTTTACTTTAGCTGACAAGAAAATCAGTTTGCTAAAGTGAGAACTAAGAACATTGGCCTAATTCCAGTGAATGTGAGTGAGTGATGTTTTACCATCTGCCCGTGCCAGGGCATCTTTATCTTGGTTTATAAGTCTCACTTATTCCATGATTAGGCCTCATGAGTGCAGAGATTTTCAGGCAAACCCTGAATGATGCCAAACCCTGTGATTCTTTATGTGCTTATTTCTAACACTGCAAACATGCAGTTATTAAACTCAATTTCATTCCTGAACTAGAGTCAAAAGTTGAAATTACCCCTAGGAGCCAAACAAACACAAGTTTGCCTTCCTGTTTAATATATATTAATTTCAGAATAAATTTTCTTTAAATTATCCCTAATAACACATAATGTTGACAGTATTTTAAGGAATATAGGCCAAAAGATTTAGAGAGATCCAAGTTGAATAATCTAGTGAACAGTTTTGCATGGAAATGTATAGATCTGAAACTGAATTTTCTCTAGATTACATATAAAAGTGAATAAAATAAAAAAAGATTCATTCCCTATTATCCTTTCCGACTCCCAGGTAACTTTCTCAGAAGCAAGTGCAGAGTATCATTACTGCAGTTTTACTGCAGTATGAATAGTCTATTAATCACATTTACTCTTCCTTGATCCCATGTGTCTGTCTCAGACTGCCATTCCTTTCTGCCTCTGTAGGGAAAGGAATTATCATCATGCAAATCCATTTTCTGAATCTGACAGAGCAATATAATCAGAATAATGTTTACAGCTCGAAAACAACTCTTTAAAAGACTAGTATCAGGCAATTCCATTTATTTTAAATGTGAAGCTATGGAAAAATTAGCAAGGTTCCTGTTATGTGAAGCAGCTGATTCTGAATTCAGGGATCACATTCTAAATTCTCCAAAGCTCACCTCTTTGTCCTTCTTGCTTCCTTGTGGCGTTAGGATCCTCTGCTACCAGGCATATTTTCAAAACTTGGCTTGACATCTGATAGAGAGGTATGAATGCATAAGATTACAGCCTTCATGTGTCAACTGTCGGTCCTGGTCCATCAGCAGGAGCGGTGAAAGTTGGAACACACAGTTAATGAGATCTGACAAACCTGAGAACAGGTGTAGGTCACATTTAAGGCATATCTGTCTTAAAGGATTATTGTTCACTGCCTTTTGCAAAAGAATAAACTAGTAATTGCATATTGTGTATCAAATATGTTGGTATTTCTTTTCTGTTAGCTCTTAAAAGTTTGAAGTTACTTTTGTTTGTGTTGCACTTGCTCACTATCACCAACTATATGTGTGTTGTTTAGAATTCTCAACATGTTTTTTCCTAGGCTGGAGCTATGATGTTCAAGAGCAGAGGATTCCAAAACCTAAATCCAAGTCTTATGGCGCAAACTTTTCTTGGAACAAAAGAACAAGAGTGTCCACAAAATAGGTTGGCATTGGTTGTCTCTGCATCTGACTGTGAATAAAGTCAGCTGTGCTGTATTTATAGTCCATGTATAATACATCTCTTAATCTCCTAATAAATTTGACCTTTAAACTACTCATGCGTCTTGTGGTGTCTATTTAAAATGTTTTTGATGTCTCCAATTGAACCTGTTACAAACTTCCCTATATTTAGAGAGGAGATTTGGGGTGTTCATACCTCTAGGAAATTGCTGTACGTGGAATTCATTAAAAGGAATGTTTGAAATGAACTGCAGCATTAAATACCAAGCCTTGGCTTTTGAATAATTTTATAATTCAATATATATTCATATATATATTCACATAGAAAAGCTGTTAAAACTTCAGTCATTTGTGCGGCTTTTTTTACCTTGTTATATACAATACAAGAATGTACTATTTTATTAAAACAAGATTTCTTAAATCAATAACAGCTCCCTCTGGAAGATTAAATTTACATTCTTTTGGATCTCAGTGCCATTCTACCTTAAAAATGATGACAGATTTTATATTTTGAGAACTTGAGGGCATATTTAGAACATCCTTAAACCCTATCAGATAAATCCTGTCATTGCTTGTTCATATATAACTGAAAACCTATCAGACCCAAGTAAAACTCTGTGCTCCATTAGTGCAAGAGGAAAGGACACATCTTACCATCCTGTTGTGGATATTGGGACATCTTTTTCCAGTCAAGAATTGCTAAGGGTGTTTTGGAAAGTTCTCTGCAACTAAGATAAAAATATCACAGCTTTGTTCCAGCTCTTCTCAGAGACGCAGTGACCAATTCCAGTGTTGCTTCTCAGTGTAGCATCAAAGACAGGCATCAAAATACAAGACCATGATGTTTACAGAATTGCAACAAATGACTTTCCTGGGATGGCTACAGTAGAAGTAAGCAGCTTCTTTCTCAAGGAATAAGTGCCACTGCAATCTTTGCACTTCAAATCTGGAAGAAGGAATTTGGGGGAAGTTAGTTATGACTATTCTTGCTGCTATTCAAAACTGGGGCCAAAGCATTCGTCATCATGCTGAACACCAGGAAGAAGGCAGTGCCCCTTGTAATCCCTAAAACCATACCTGTAATAAAGACTTTTGTAATACAAAGGCAGCCAACCTACTTGCAAGCCTTATGGAATTGTAAATTCAGCTGCATATTTACAAATGTTAAACACCTAAATAGTTCATTTGTGACCTACATCGATCTCAAAGAGGAAAGAATCACACAGCAGGTATATTTGTTATGTTAAAGATTAAAACATACTATTGATTTGCAAGAGAGAAAAAATTCCTATAACACTCCTTCTGTGCTATAGACAAACCTAGTGAAAAAGCAGATTTCCTTTTTTTAAAACAGTTCTGAGTTTTGAAAGCTGTTTAAATCGTATCATCTGAGTGTTTGCAGCTATATGGCACTATGACTACAATGTCTGGTGTTAATGGGCCTGTAAGTCAAATTGCAGATGGAAGCCCTTTAAAGTATTTGTATGGAGGAAAAAAATACAAATTTAGAGCAACATCAAGTTCTAATAAAAGAGAATATTTATAGCTCAGGGTTGAAACAAGGGATCCTTGATGCTCTCTGAGCTTGATTGTTTTCTTGCAAATATTTCATTACCCAAACTACGGTAGGTAACATCCTAAGTGATAGGTAACATCATCACTAGCACATGCTAGATCCCTCATACCAAGTTTTTTTCCTTTAATTTCTTTTATGAGTTAATTATTTGTGGAACTATGTTGCACTATTAGAAATGAAGTATTGATTGCATGTCAATCTTATCAAAATTTGCTATTGGCTAAAAATTATCAGACAACCTATTTACTTTGAAATATAAAACAAAGCACTTCTTCAAACTAATCAGAGTAGCAAAGAAGAAACCAAGGATGATAAATCTACTATTAGGTCTTGATTCTCATACAGGTGTCATTAAAATTATTAACTACTAATCTTGGGATTTTTGAAATTATTTCCTTTTGAATCTAGTTTTGGAATACAATAAATGTGTGGCTCCATCTGTTGTTCCACTTCCATGTTTCAATTGTTTCTAAACTTTGAGTAATTTAATAAATTATTTAGACTTCTTGTCCTAATTAAAATACAGAAAAACACTTTTAATCTAAACATCTTTAGAAATTACAGCCAAATATCGATGTAAGCTTGTTAGTTTTTCAATGAAGCCTAATGTTAGAGAAAAGGATAAAATATAATGTATATTTATTTAAGTAGCTTAAAAATTATGTGTGGATTGCAATGTGCAAAGTTTAAGAAATGCTGGAAATCAGCTAGAAGACAAGTATGAAGTGCAGTTATTAAATAACATCTCTTGTTCTCTTCCCTGCATGAATGAATGGTACAGAAGATCTAATGCACAATGTATAAATTGTACAGAAGTACAATGTTACCTTTGATAAACAGCAGAGTCAATAGTGCAATAGTGCAACAAGTGAAAAGCACCTTCCCTCAATAATCTTTCTTCCACTAATCATGTTATTTAATTACCATCTTCCCATGAGCTGGCAGGGATGCCCGTGAAGAAACATGGTTTACAAACTGATGTTATCCTTCAAATAACTTTGTAAAGTTCCCAAGCTTGAAAAACCCTCTTCTAGAGCGTATTGCAAGTACAGGAGGGATTTGGATCCTAGTATCGATCTAAAACCCATCCAAAATATTTCTGGCTTGTAAATGTTGGTGAAGTATTAGCTGGTGATGAGGAAGCTCAAGAGGTTAGATCCAAAAATACTTTATGCCCTTGTGATATATCCATAAGGTTATAAGATTGTAGCCTTAGAGAAGAAAGAGAGGAATGTTTTGGATATAGGACATTCATCTATAGGTGACACTGACAAATATGCAAACATTTAATTTCTAGGTATTTCCTAGAAGAAATAAAAGAAATTTCTATCATTTTAAGAAGAAAACAAATGTTGGATGTGGTGCTTCTAAATTTACAAATACAATATTTTAGTAATCCAGAGTTATGTAAAGTTGTATTGTTGTTGATACCCTTAAGGCTGCACATTCCTCATTTCCTGTTACAATATTTATACGTGTAAGGCCGAATATATCTCACTGAAATTAAATACCTTGATATAAGTGAATCATTGCTACTTTTTTCAATTATTTCATTATGAAATAAAAGAACAAGCAATAGATCCAATGTTTCACTACAAGAATTTATAAATTATTGCAACCAGGTCTCTATTTCAGAAATTCCCAGATTGATCAATTGTTCACATCAGTTGTATTTGTTCACTTCAAAAATAGATATAAAGAGACTATCTTAGAATTTGATAATAGTCTAAAAGAAAAGTCAGCATCACAAAGTCTTTTACACATAGTGCACAATAAGAAACAGGATTAGTTAGATACTTTTGTACAAACTGCACAGCATCATACAAGCTTAAATTTAGAGAGTTCCTGAGTTTTAGATCCAGTTCCTAAGGAAACAATACATCTTAAGGCCAACTCAACAAGAGGTTTCATGCCAGAAAAGCAAGAAATTCTACTTGCAGAGTAGAGGAGGCACTGCAATTCCCATGGCTTGGGCTGCTTTGGGCCATCTTGCAATCTGTTCAAGCCCATCTGGAAGCAGGCACAAAAGCCTTTTTTGGCTATTGGAATTGTCAGATGAGGCTGGAAGCAAAACAACACAACCACTTCAATATTGAGAGAGTGGAGAAGGTTTTCTTCCCTTTTGAAGGGGTGACTTTAAATCATTTTGCGGTCAGGCTGTAACATTAAATTTCACCATTTGCAGTCAGAAGATGTGGTAATGGTTACCAGTTTTGATAGATTTAGAGGGATTACTCAAATTTATGAAGGATAAATCCATCAGCAAAAAAGTCTAGCCATAATAAAGATATGCAGCCTCCCGGTTCACATTTACCATTCTTTTGCAGAATATTTGCTAAGGAGCAATAGGGAGAGAAATATACAAACACCGTAGATGATTCCTGATGAACGCCTCTCAGGGACTTCTGATTGGCCATTACTCAGAATCTGATGCAGGCTTATTACTTGGATTCAGCAGAGCTCTTACGATCAGCTATTATTTTGAATACTAAAAAAGGGTAAAAGGTGCAGGTAACTGGTTAATCTATAAGAAATTTAAAGGATAGCTCATTTGGGACACTGGCCACACTATGATAATAGTGATGAGGTAACAAACACACTTATAATTTCTCTTAAGTATCTTTAATATTCTTAAAATTACCTCAGTTAGTCTACAGGCTTTCTCCTGGTGCTTTCTGGCTGTTAAAAGTTCAGTCAAAGTGAGCAATCAACCAATCTAGGAATTGAAGTCTTTCAAATATTTTCTAGATGCAGAAATAATAAAATGGAATGGAATGGAAGAGGAGAGGAGAGGAGAGGAGAAGAGAAGAGAAGAGAAGAGAAGAGAAGAGAAGAGAAGAGAAGAGAAGAGAAGAGAAGAGAAGAGAAGAGTTGGAAGGGACTTTGGAGGTCTTCTAATCCAAACCCTATACCATTTCAGACAAATGGTTGTCCAGTCTCTTCTTAAAAACTTCTGGTGTTGGAGCATTCACAATTTCTGGAGGCAAGTTGTTCCACTGATTCTTCTGTCAGAAAATTTCTTAATTGTTGGTTGCTTCCCTCCTTGATTAGTTTTCACCCATTTGTTTTCAAAACAGTTCCTAAAACCTCTGATCAAGAGACAAAGCTCTAGTGATGGAAAATTTGAGTTATTCATGAAACCCCATCAAGTTCCCATGGAATGCTAGAGTTCCACAGAACAGAGTTTGAAAAACCTTGGTCAGGTTCACCTGGAATGTGTCTGTTTCCTAAGGATCCAAAGTTCAGGCCTTTGCCTTGAAGGCCA